ATGCCATAGCATTGTCCAGCTCCAACAGTGAAAGTTAAGTTTTACTTATCAGTACACCATAAATCAAACAAATTATATCAACTACATGGAACTTTTCAAGTAAATGTAGTTTTCATTCCAGTAGGATGATTAAAAGCTGCCCCTATGATCAAACTGGTATAATTCTCTAAAACAAAAAACAAAAGTCAAAATACAAAGCAAAACAAAAACCTTACATATCTAAGTATACCGGCCTCAAAACAGGAGTATCTGAGTCATGCCTGTAAGTGAAGGCGAAGGCAAAGCAGGGGGAGGTGGGTCCTTACACTGGCTTCTGCTGCAGCAATCTATTTCCCTTAAAAAGCAAACCAAAACCATTTGTTCTTATGGAAAATTATGCACTTCCATCAGCTTCAGGACAGTGACTTAGTGAGGAGGCTAATAACAGAAATATGTGCACAAAATATTTAAAAAGTCAAGTTTACTTGTTTTCACTGATATTCCCAAAGCCATTTAAGAAAAGGTGCTTATACCACACATACTAGCAAATGCTATTAGCAAAGAGACCTATTTCTGTTAACTTAATTACATTATATCCTTGGGAGTATACCTTTTACTACAAAACATGTAAACTGGATAAAGTTAAGAAAAAGGAGTCACCTTCTGCCTCACAGTATTTGAATACACATTCTGCTTGAGGGGAAATTAAGCTTCAAAAACACAGAATAAATGTTGAATAAACGACCTATGATACAAATTATTTCCATTATTATCTTACAGTTGGTGACATCTCCTGGGTGAGGAGAGAAAAGGGTAATGGAAAAAACAACTGATTATAAATATTGGCTTCTTTCTTATTACTACTAACTCAAAGGGCTGTGTACAAAAGCAAAATCTTTTGTCCTAAAGATTAATTAAAAAAAAAAATTAACTGCTTTAACTTAAGTAAAATCTGTTTGTCACAGATAGTGATTACTGTCAATAATCACTGTGGAAAGAAAACCTCAAAATTGTAATAAATGTATATAGTGGGAGACCTCTCAGTACTAACAAATAACCACTTAATTTTTAAACTAAAGCTTTTGTAGACAAGCAAGATCCTCAAAAAAAAAAAAGTGTTAGAAAACTGAGGGTTTGATACACTCAACAGTAAATGCATAATAAGGGGAAATAAACACCAACATGGAAAAATGTTAACTAGCAAAGTAGGTTTTAATTTAAAATATATTTGCCCCTTGCCCTGGCCGGTTTGGCTCAGCGGTTAGAGCGTCGGCCTGAGGTCCAGACAGACCCGGGCTCGGTTCCCGCTAAGGGCACGTACCTCGGTTGCAGTTTGTCCCCGGCCCTGGTTGGGTTGTGCGGGTGGCAACAACTTGATGTGTCCCTTTCATGTCGATGCCCCCCCCCCCATCTGAACAAAAAATGAAAAAATGTCCTCGGGTGAGGATAAAAAATAAATAAATAAATATATTTGCCCCCCCCCCCATTTTTAAAGAAAGAACAGAGTAAGTTGAGGTAAAAAAGAAAATATATTATGCTACCTGCTCTCCAAAAAAGACCATGAGAAAATAAAAATGCATTTTTCAAACCAGTAATGGCAGAATCTAATCTAACGTATTTGCTCACTTTTTCTAAGTGACGCTAATTTTTCAGATATTCACAATAAAAAGATTTAGGCTGGCCTTCCTTATAAACCATACTATGCATTTGTTGATTTTCATTATCAGCAGTTTTAACCTCCTCTCTGCCTATAAAATAAAAACTAAAAATCTGATTTTAAAATCCCTATATTTCCCATATATGGAATTTTCCCCTGTACCAAATTTTTAAGTCAAATTTATTTTACTTTTCAATAAAATTCTTCTCAATTCTAAATTGTAATCGTTTATAACAACAGAATTTTCATTCAAGGATTGTTGTTGCTTAAGTTTCTTTTTTATGACAAAGGTTTAAAATAACAACTTACAACTACTCTTTCCCATGGATGCTCCCAAAGTTCAGCTGAAAACTCCCTAGAGAGAGAGCAGTTTAAGATTTAAGACCTAGATTTTATCTGCAATCACCTCTATCTTCATTGAGAGATTCTTAAATACTGGAATTATCAACTGAAATTACATCCTTTATATGACTGTTACAACTTAGAATGTACTCACAAGTTTTAAAAGCAACCATATTGAAGATACTTGGGAGGAAAGTCTGACAAACCCTCCACACCTCCCCCAAAAGACAGTCCATGGTCAAATGTAGGCTAAAGGTTAACCTGGCATAGAATTAAAATACTTACCTAAAGTATCCAGGTGGTAATCAATTAAAAAACAAACAAACAAACAAACAAACAAACAAAAACCTAGAACACTAAATCTCAAATTTGTAACTAGCCAAATAAAAAATCTCAAACTGACAAGCAACGATTTTAAAAGCTTACTTTGGGGAAATAGTTTTTAAAAGAATTTCAAAAATACAAAATACTCAAAATTCCTAGTTATCAAAAAATACTACAGCAACTATAGTGTCTTAACTTGATTAGAATAACCACTACAGCAAAATTTACAGTTTTATCTAAATTTGAGAAGTTTTTCAGCCAATCCTATGGACAAAGGAAAATGTAATTCCTAACCACAAACAGAAGTCATGATTAATTTGTTTTGGACAATGACTGACCACAAAGGGGTAAAAGCACAACTTGCCAAATTGCAGAATTAAATAATACAGCACGGAAAAAAAAATGATGCACTTCAGAAACCAATATTTTTCTTCAGTCAAATTAAGTTTATAATAAGGCTAACAATTACAGGAAGCAGCTTATCCCACACTAAGAAATAAGCCCCTTTTCCTGCATGTTTGTACTGATAAAAAAAATAAACTTCCTACTCATTTTATGCTGTCCATTTTAAAGATCCTAGCTACTATACAGAAGCAATCTTCATGCTGGGGAGTTGAAAAGGCCAAAACAGGATAGACTAAGACTAATAGAGTAAACCACATTAAAAACAAATGAAACAAAAAAAAATACTATTTAGAATGTATCACCCTCAACTAGTTGCCCAGCATTTAAAACTCAAATAGTTACTATTTCCAACCACAGAGAAATGAACAAACATTTGTTAGAGATAATGACATAATTGGAATTCTAGATTCAGAAGATTAAAATTATCAAAGCCAAAGATTGGAAAGTTTTAACAGAGAACCAACCCCCAAATTATCATTTAGAAATTTTAGATCAACATAACAGCGCAAGAGAGTATTTTAGAACTAATCAGAGAAACTCAAATTATTTATTTTTTAAATACACATAAGGTAAAAATATTTCCAAACTTTAAAAAAATAATCTCTTACGCCGTTTGATTGAATTCAAGATTTTAATTCAAAGATGCAATTTAACTTTAATCCTAAATATCATCATGGCCTATTTTCTTTTTAACGTCTATAAAGGATTTCTTCTAAACAACTGTTCTTAAAAAGAAAAGGGAAAACAAAAAACAAAAAAACAAAGAAATCTTAACAAGAATTTTTACTAATACTACTCAAACTCCAACCTCAAAATATGCCAAGTAAAAAATAATAGCATATTATTTTTGAACTGTGATATAATTGTTCCAATTTTAAAGGAAGTGTCTTTTAACGTTTGTAAATACATACATAAACACAAAATGACACATGAAATGATCTGCTGCGACTTAAGTTTCAACTAAATTTAATATAGGTCAGATTGAGTGCGTTACACATTTTGCTCCAAACATTTCTCCTGTTTAAAAAACAATAACTGGCGCCCCTTAGCGCTCACATTTGGAAATACTCGATTTTAGAGTTCCAGCCTTTTTTTTTTTTTTTTTTTTTTTTGACATTCCAGAAAGTTTTCTGCCTCCACAATCTTTCAAATGCCAACGTAAATAGGAAAAGCAGAACCCCCTTAAAGGGACAGCTCAAGTTTTCTCGGGAGCAGCTGGAAAGGAGCAGAGCGCGGCTCCGACCCGGGAAAAGCCGTCGCAATATGGTCGCTGCTGCAGGCTGCGCCCACGGAAGCGACGAGGGCTCGGGGTACCTGCTCTCTGTACTTTTAAGTCTGTTCGTGTGACTTTCCTGACAACAAAAGCTCCTGGGATTCTTCAGTAACCTTTTTGTTGTTGTTGTTAAATCACAAAAACATTTCCGGCCTTTTGTTCTGTAGTGACATTCCAACTCTCTAAGCGTCGGGTTCCTCTCCCCGGCCCTGGCGCAGGAGCCTGGGCACCCCTGGGAACCCCGAGCCATTGTTCCCTCGGGCGCGGGGCGCGGGGCTGTCCGGCCCTCCCGACGCGCCCGGGGACACCCCTTCCTCCTCGGCTTCGGGGTGGACTCGCCGGCCCGACCTCCCCAGGACCCGCGCAAATCCGCGCTACAGAGGCGACTCCGGTCCGCGCTCCGCGAACGGCGGGGTCCCCGAGCCGGCCCCGGCCCGGCCGCCTCCGACGCCGGCTCCCGTGCAGCCAGCGGGGCGGCGGCGCCCGCAGCGCCCTCCGCGAAGTTCCCGAAAGTCGGCCGCGCGCCGGCCTCGCGGTATTTCCTGCCCCCGCCCCCCGGGGAGCGCGGCTCCCGCACGGCCCCGCTCCCCCGAACAAAAGGACACAAGTGCCCTCGGCTGTCACCCGGGCTCGCCCGGCTCACGCCGCCCTCCGTGGGCGCCTCCGAGGCACGAGCCCCGCGCGGCGCCCCTCGAGCACTGCCGTGCAGGAGAAACTCCGACGAAGCGCCAGCCCGCGGGGTCCCCGCGCTGGGGTCCCCGCGCTCCCCGGGGGAGCCCTCCAGCGGCCCGCGCCGGTGTCCTTCAGGCGCCCGGGGGCGCGGGCGGGCGGATCGTCCCCGCGGCCGGGCCAGCGCTCCCCCGGCGGCGCGGGGTCCGGTCCGGGTCCGGGTCCCGGCCGGGGGCGGCCCGCGCGCCCGCCCGCGCGCCCGGCCCCGGCGCCGCCTCCCGCGGGGCCCCGCCCGGGCCGCCGGGCCCGCCGGCCGCGACCTCGCCCGCCCCACGCGCTCGGGCGGCTCACCTTCGTCCAGCAGCCGCTCGAGGTGGTTGAAGATCCCGCAGAAGTTGGGCAGGCTGCTCATGAGCTTCTTGTCGTTCATGAGCTGCATCAGGTAATCTGGGGTGGGCTTCGGCTTCTCCTTCGTTTCCATTTCCCCGACCATATTCCAGGCTCCGCCGCTCGCTCCGCCCGCGCCGCCGCCGGAGAGCAGGGAGGGGCGGGGAGCCCCGGCCGCCGGCCGCTCGGGACTCGGCGTCCCGCTCCGCTCCGCTCCCGCGCCGGGCGGCCGGACCGCGCGCCCTCCCCGCCCCCGCAGGCACTTTCCGCCGCGGGCTCGCCGCCGGTGCGCGTCCCTCCCGAGGCCGGCGGGGAGGCGGGTCTCCGCGGGCCGCTCGGCGCCGGACGAGGGAGAGCCGGGCCGCCGCCGCCGCCGCTCGCTCGGCTGGTCGCGCCCGCTCCGCCGCCGCCGCCTGCGCCGCGGGCTCGGGGTCTCTCTGGGCTGGTCCCCGCCGCGGCCGCCTGTGCCGCTGCCGCCGCCGCCGCCGCGCTCTGACTCCGCTCCTCCTCTTCCTCCTCCTCCTGCCGCCGCCTCCTCCTCCTCACTCACTTGGCGGCGGAGTTCGCCTCAGTTCAGGCGGCGCTGCCAGCGGCGGCGGCGGGGGGAGGGGCGGCGGCGCGGGGAGGGCCGGGGGCGGGCGGCGGGCGGGGCCGCGCAGGGCGGCCGTTAGCGGGGCCGGCGGCACGCTCCGCCCCCCGCCCCCGCCCCCCGCCGCCGCCGCCGCCGCCGCGCCGCCTCCCGCCCGCGGGGTGGGCGCTGTGGCCGCGCCGGGGTCGCCGCCCCGGACGGACGCGAGCGGGGGGCGGGGCCGCGGGGGGCGCCGGGCGGCGGGCGGCGGGGCGGGGTCCGCGGGCCGGGCCGGCGGGCGCGGGCGGCCGTGGCGTTAGGCGGCGGGGACTCCCGGCAGGACGCGCCGCCGAGCGCCGGGGCTGCGCTCGCCGCCCGGCCGCATGCGCTCCTCCCGCTACTACAGTTTTTTTTTAAAAACCTCTCCTCGCTCCACCAAAGAAATTTCTTTAAAACAATTTTTTTTCTCTTCTTTTTTTTTTAACGTCCTGTTGCTTCACGGGGGACTTGAGGGGTGGTCATCACGTGGCCCGACACGTAGCCGTAAGGTGCGAGAGCGCGTGCGCGCGTCCGGGCCGGAGGCCACGCCTTCTCTGAGGGTCGCCCCGCCCCCGCCCGGGCCCCGCCGGCGCAGGGGGAAGGGAGGGGCCTGGCGCGCGCCTGCGTGGGGCAGCGGCCGGCCGCGCTGGGGAGGGGGCCCTCCTGCAGGAGGGGGGAGGGGAAGAATGCGCGGTCCCGGTGGTAGGACCCACGGCGCGGGGCGCGGAGCCCAGCCGACCCCGAGGGGCGGAGACGGAAGGCGGAGGGGTCTTCGCTACCAGGCCCCCGCGGTAACATTCCTGCGGCCCTGGTTCGCCTCCGCAGGACGTGTTCGCGGTGGGCTCCGGCTGCAGCTGTGTCGTTGGTGTGACCGCACGAGGATCCCGCCCCCCACAGACACGCCGTCTCTCCTCAGTCTCCTCCGGTTCCCAGAGCCGCAGCGGGAAGGAGCCCGAGGAGAGGCGGGTCCCGCGTGGGCGCGCCTCGTCGCCCCGACGGCGTCGCCGCTGCCCGGGCAGTGACCTGGCCGGGCGGCGGGCGCACCTCTGGGGACAGGGTGTGCTTTGTGGCCGCATCCCGTTATTCCGAGAGGCAGCCACGGTCGGGAACGAGCGCCGCGGTGCAGGAAATTGAGGATCGTGAATGGCGTTTGCAGTGTTCTGCTTCGTGATGGCATCGATATCCACTAATAAAATGCAGCCGCAATAAAGAAATGAAACAAAGAGCATGAGCCCAGTTTGAAAAGCGAAAGTCAACATTTCTATTTGCAAACTTGCAGAAATAAGCATAAGGTGGGCAAGAGGGTTTTCCAAGCAGTATGATGGATTTCAAATATTTAGGTTAGTCTGGGGAAGAATTTTCTAAGCTGCAGCCATGTAGTTCTCTTTGGAATGTTATCAGTCACGAAATCTGCATCTTATTGCAAGCCCTTTATGGCGTGTACAATTAATTTGGATCAGATGATTTCCTATCACACTGACCATTGTGAGAGTTACCCGTTCCTGAGATTTTCTGTTAATCTTGTCTGCTGCGTTTTAACTGTGAACTTGGCTTCAAATTCTTAGGAACGCTTTTAAGATTGGAGTGCATTGAAGCAACTAAGTGAATTTCAGACAAACACTCTGAGTGGCAAGTAACTTCTGGCCTGTTCACTTGAAAAACAGAGTAAGTTCGTTTTTTAAATTAAGTTAGCTTGATAGAAGAAATGGCGACTTTAACTCAAATATTTTAAGTTATCCAACATCCATCGCTAAGAGCCATAGAATTTTCACAGACTATCTATTCAAAGGATGAATTGTATAAATATAAGGAATAATAACTTGATCAAAAAGCTGCTGTCTCAAAACACTAAAGTAAGGCATGCTTCTTCAGTAATTGGCAAAATGATAAGTAGTTTTGAAGGATTTGGGTAGTAAATTATTTGATCTACTAGTGTAAAAGATTCCATTCCCCTTCTTAATCAGTTCACTTCTATATTAAGGTCCTAGGCCCTGTACTAAATGCTTTATGTGTATAACTCATTTAATCTTCCTTATGGCTTGGGTTATGCTGTAACCCCATTTTACGTAACTGGAAACCCAAGGAGAAGGAGGTTAAGTAACTGGCCCAAGACTACACCTCATGAGTCCTGAATCTGAGATTCAAATCCACGTATATTTTATTCAGAGCCCTCGTTCTGCTCCTCTTATCCAATAAGGCACACTGAACTTTCTGATAGTGTTCAACCATTTCTGACCCATAGAAACTGGAATATCGTATAGCTCATCTGGCTCTTTACTAAGTGAACCAGATGGGAGGTAGAGAACCGTGTCAGGCAGTATTCATTGCCGATGTATTAAATCCCTTATGGTTACAGCATTCAATGAGTTACTATGTATTACCTTCTCAAATACAGATGTATCATTTCACCTCTGTGCTCACAGTTCTTCGGTTACCCCTCTCCAGTGAAAAATCCAAACACCTTACCAAGGCCTGGAGCCCCACAGTGCTCTGACCCGCCGCTGCCTTGCTGACCTGATGTCCACTTCTCTTCCGCTATCCAGGAGACTGTAGCCCAGGGAATCCCCTCCCCCACCATGAAGCAGGCCAAGCGGTGGGGCATGGGATATCTAGTACAGGCGCTTGGAGTCGTCCTGACTAACGCTGGGGTGGAAATACATAAGGTGACAGTGCCAAGGGTCCCTTCCTGAAGCAGGTCTCTCGATCTGATTCTCCAAGGAAAAAAGGAAGTAAAAAACTCTTCCTCAGTTTGTTGGGCTTTGCACTTGGTGTTTCTCTCCTTGCAGTTTTCCACAGGCCTGCAAGCCCACCTCCAGGTGTTTTACCACCCGAAATGAAAAAGTGCAGAAGTGAACACATTCATCATTGTCTGCTTACCTTCCTTTTAATTCTTTTCATAACATTATTTCCTCCTGATACATTGTGTCTAGAGGTAAGTTTGTTTGTCACCTCCCCCTCCACTGTAAGTAAGCTCCATGAGAGCAAGGACTTAATTTTCTTCTATTTGGAATTCCCAGCACCTAGAATAGCATGTGGGATGTGGAGGTACTCATTAAAAATATGTTCAGAAAGGGTATTAAGTAGTTGTTATGCACCAGGAACCATACAAAAACCCTTACCTACATTATTTCTTTCAATCCTTACAGCAGACATTTGAGGTGGGCTCTCGAGCCAGACGCCTCTCCTTGGAGACAAGTGCACCATCCAGAGTCCCCTCCCTACCTTTTCTCTGTCCCACAACTGCCTCAAGCATTTGAGGTCCATAGTACACCTGTCATTACCCAACGTATAAGTGCAGTGAGAATTCCAAAATTTGGGGGATACAACACTTGCCTTCAAGAAGCTTAAAAATCTCACCCAGCCAGTGTGGCTCGGTTGGTTGAGAATCGCCCCAGGCACCAAGAGGTCACCTGTTCAATCCCCAGTGGGGGACATGCAGGGAGCAACCGATCAGTGTTTCTCTCTCATCAATGTTTCTCTCCATCTCCCATCCTCTCTCTCTAAAAATCAATTAAAAATATATTTTATAAAAAGCTTAAAAATCTAAAAATTAATGTGGGAAGACTTTAGTTACTACAAAAATATCGTAATATGACATGACAAGTTACAATGTACACAGAACATGTGTATGGGTGAGCTTCCATTTAAAGATCCTTGTCTTTTTTTTGTTGTGAAAATTTGTCATCTAATATGCTGACTCTAAAAATGGTTCCATATCTAACATCAATAATTAACCACAAGTTCTCTTAAACTTGATTCTCTCTCTTTGCTCATTGCTATTCTTTATACTTAAAATATAAAATTACAGTATTCCAAACATTATTTTTTTTCATCATCATGGAGTTCTTGCAGGAACAAAAATGTTCCTTGGACTTAAGAATCAGTGCTTGATGGCTTTCTGTCTCAAATGTTCTTTCTAAATATCTTAATCCTTAAATTTTTTCTAAAAGGGAATAGGGCATTCCCAGTTTCTTTATAAAATAAATCTTTGTTTATTGTCTTAAGAGGTTTCTTGAGGCTTCTTTTAAATCGTGAGATGGTTTATAGGTCTATTTAAAAGTTGAAATGGCACATTTTAAGTGTGAATATCTTCATCAGCAAATATTTAAGTAACTGTCATTAACCCTAAGGCACTCTGGGGCTAGGCTGAGAGTTAATGTCCTACATGTATGAAAAATGGACTGGTAAAAGTAAACGCTAAAGACGAAATGCTTAGGAATGGAAATGACCATGACATTCCAGGCCTAGAAGCCAAAGCAGGACTGCTCTGGGAGGCAGGTTCATCTCAGGCTTGAAGAAACAGTAAAGGTGCCCAGGGAGGGCATTGACAAAAATGTGGAAACGGGAAAGTAAGGCTTTTTAGGGTAGTTTCCTTCGAAAGTAGTAGATGCCAGATTTTGTTCGGCCGCGAATGTCAAGCTAAAATGTTCATAGAGGGGAGACGTAGGAATGTTTCTTAAGACAAGGAAATTCATCAATAAAGGAGTAACGAGGCTTCCTTCGGTGAGGCACATTTATATCTGATAGTGCAAACACAACATTGCTACAGTGAAAGGCACTGCTCCCCACAGGCATTCGAATGCTAATTGTGCTGCCTTTTCAAGCCACTGACATGGTTGCAGATGCAATACTAACATTTAGCTTAAACCACTGCACAGCAGTTAAATGTTAACTGACCAGGTCAGGTTTCTGCTCACTTGACCCTAAATGAAACTTTAGAGGTAAAAAGCTTCTCAGCCAAGAGGCAGGCTCTGGTGCCATGTAATCCAATCCTCATTCCATATTTAAACAGAAACTTTAACTTAAAAGTCATTGTCTGTTATTATAGCAATATGAGAGAATTGTGAATGCACTTTGTTTTGATCAACTTTCAGGCCAACTCATA